CTGTCCGCGATCCTCTTGGACTGGTCAGGCGCTTTTGACCGAATCGACCCAGCAGCAGAGCGCATTTATATTGCGTGCATTGGGTTGCCAGACAATGATTTTAATGAGCCCTGCCATGCGTGACGGCCGGGCGCTCGAGGTCCTAGATCGACGGGGCTCTTCCCTCCGTTCTCTATTCGCAAGAGGCGGGCATTGAACGAGGACGCCCGCTAGGCCCATTTTTTTCATCGTCGTTCTCGCTGCGATAGTGGCCGACGTCGACGAGGACGTTCAGGCCGTCCTTGGACCTGCGCCGCCGACCGACATCAACGTTGACGTAGGATCCGCCGACGACGCTGCTCTGATATCAGACAACATTCCGCGTCAACAGTTCGTCTTGGAGAGGTTGTTGCATAGAGTCAGCACGCGCGGGCTGGAACCAAATTGGTCTGAAACGGTTCACCTGCAGGTCCGCCGCAACGCGAATGTGGCCACGCCGCAGGGCGCGCTGATTAAGCCGGCGAATAGCGCCATTTATCGCGGCAGTCTTCTGGAGGCATATAAGTTTGCAGGGGCGCCCGTCGCGCCCAGGTTTGGCGAAGCATCGGCTGCGTTCGACATTTTGCACAGCGTTTGCGAGCGCGCGCGTGCCGGAGATTTAATATTTGCTCGCGTGGTGTCGAGGTCGTTGCGCGGCTTAGAGACTTTCTGGTGGCGCCAGGCTGAAAACGGCAAGATCGACGCTATCCGTGCCCGTTCTTGACGACATGCATCCACATCGTGCCACGCTCAATGATCTCGCGCAGATCGAATGAAGTCGGCCAGGCCGCCAGCGCCGACTGAGCGCGGCAGCGCCGCACGTGGCAGTTGGCGGTTTATGGGTGGATTGCTTCCCAGCCGGGTCAGTTTCCATTGCGGGCCGCTGTTCTGGCGCCGGGCTCACTGGCGGCGCCGTCGCGACCGCCTGGCGTCGGGCAAATGTGATTTGGGAACAGGCGGAGCTAACGAAGTCCTCCTGTCCTCGCCCCCCCGCCCCTCCCGCCCCCCCCCCCTGCCCCCCTCTGTCCACGTGAGGCGCTGGGCGCGTTATCCAGGGGCCCTCGCTCTGCCGCGCACGGGTGGCCGCGCGGGGAAGCAATTGTGAAACGACATTGTTTTCCATGGGCCCGACAGATGCTTGGGCGTCGTCTCTCATTGCCGCTGCTCCAGCGCGGCGTGCATTATTTCCTGCTGGGCAGATGCGTCGTGCGACATGGCTTGCGAACGAACGAACTGGGCGTGAGTTCCCCCGCGCGAGCCATCCCCCGACTGTGCGCGCCCCTTGCGCGCTCGCGCGTCATCGGCTGGCAAGCGAGCGCAAAACTCATGGCGCCGCCGCGCTCGCGACGCAGCGATCTGCATAGAGGTCGGCTGCCAGTCTCGCGCGCGCTGGCAGGCATCACCCGCTCAGCTTTGAGCGCTAATCGCCGCGGTGCCCGCTGGAGGGGGGGCTTGCGCATCTGCCGCGCCCGGACTTGCGCGCAGTCAAGGCGTTGCGCGCTAAGGATGACTACGGGCTTGCGCTGGGCTCTGGTCCTACGGCCCCGTTCCCTTCGATTCAGACCGGGGGGTCTGCTCGCGGCGGAGGCTCGCCGCGGCTTGCAGAGACCCTTCATTCCGCATCTGGCGCCCCCTGCGGTGGCGCGGCGGCGGCGCCCGGGGAGCGACCCGCCCCCGTTGTTTTGAGCGGGTCAGGGTGCGGGGCCCGACCTGATGCGCATCGGCGGACGGGCGCGGGGCAATCGCGCGCTACGTGGGCCCCCGCCGCGTCGTCGCACGTCGGCGGCGGGGCCGCAGTCAAGCCGCGGTCTGCCAGCCTTGCTCTGGTCGATCCAGAAGGGGGTTCAGCTGCTGATCGCGCCGGCGACGATGACGGCGCCCTCGCGTCGGCGATGGAGGTTTTGGAAGGAGTTCGACGCGCGCGCGCGGCCGACGCGCGAGGGTGGCCCGCATGGCACCATGCGACGCTGATCGCGCCCCCCCGAAACAAAAACACGCGCGCAAGGGCTTTCAGATGATTTCGGCATGCGGCGCGAGAGGCCCATTTGGCAAAATTCCATGAACAGGTTGAAAAGCGAATCGTTTTCTTAAGAATTCGCAAGAGCGCGAGCGCGGGCTTTCTAGAACATTGGTTTTGCGAAGCCATGTCTTTTTTGCATGGCTTCGCGACACTCGGTCGTGACGTCGTTGCGAAACCTGCGTTTTTGAAGGATGTAGGCATGCCCGCGCGACGACGCGCGCGCGTTTCGCTTCGTTGTTTGCAGAGGTTTCTTGCGACAGCACGCGCGCAAGGGCGTTCGAACGATTGTGACCTGCGCGCGCGAAAGCCTTTTTTGGCAGCATTATATGAAACATGTTGAACAGCCTGTCGTTTTTTTCAAGAATTCGCAAGATCGCGCGCGCGAGCTTTTCTGCAAATCCGCGCTGCGAAAGCATATGTTTTTATATGTTTCTTTGACACTCGATTTTGAAATCCTTACGCAACCGCAGGTGGTTGAATGATTACGCGGGATTGCACTTCGTCATTTGTTGTTAGGGGTTTTTGAACACTGATGATTTCTGAGCAACGAACGCGCGCGCGCATCGCGATCTGTTGCAAATGATGGTGGGGGGGGGGGGGGGGCGGTACCGGCTCGATGGGGATGGTATGAGTTCATATATCGGATGGGCGATGGGGCAGAATCAAATATACATTGCAATGCGAAATGGGGTGGGGATATTCCCGGGAGGGGGGGTCTTGGTCCAATTGATGTTTACGAACGAGTCGGCACACCCCATGCCGTGGCAAACATCCCACCCACCCACCCGCAACCTAGTCTGCAAAACCCACGCGGCGGCGATTGCGATGAGTGCTCGGCGCTGGCTGGTGCATCTCTGCGGCCGCGCCAACCCGCGCATGCGCTCGCGTGCAGCGGCCAGCTCGTTTGGCGCGACCGACGCGGCCGCGGTGGCGCTGCCCGCTGGACACATCCCAGCGGGCACTTCAGTGCGAGTCGGCGATTTGGGCGGGCGCGGTATCATGGCAGCGTATGGTTTGTGATGAAACGTGCGCGCGCATATTATATTTGGCAGAGGATGACGGGGGGGGTCGATCCCAGCCTGCCTGGGACGGGGCGACTTCATAGTTACGATGGACTTTGGGGCAGAATCGCATGCAAAGTGCAATGCGAAAAGGGGGCGGATAATCCCGGGGTATGTATGTATGTATATATATATATATACATACAAGAGAATCATGCGACGGCGATGGCGGCGACGGGCGGCTCCGCCCGCCGCACCGTATCACCCGATTCAGCACACCCCTCACACGCTTCGTGACCCCATAAGGAACCCCACAGAAGGCCCAAACGTCAGCGTTCGCATGTGGCCACTGCACCCATTTTGGCACACCCTTCAGACGCTTCGTGGCCCCATAGGAAGCCCCACCGAAGGCCCATATGCCAGCGTTCGCGTGCGGCCACGGCGCCCATTTTGGGACATACCTCATACGCTTCGTGGCCACATAAGGGGCCCCACCGAAGGCCCAAATGCCAGCGTTCGCATGCACCCGCCGCGCCCAGTTCGACACACCCTTCACACGTTTCGTGGCCCCAGAAGGAACCCCACCGAAGGCCCAAATGCCAGCGTTCGTATGCGCCCACCGCACCCATTTTTGCACGCCCCACGCACGTTTCGAGGCTCCACAGGGAACCCCTCCGAAGGCACAACTGCCAGCGTTCGTATGCGGCCACCGCGCCCATTTTGGCACCCCCGTCCCGCCCGTTGCGTGGCCCCACAAGGGGGCGCCACCGAAGGCACACATGCCCAGCGTTCGCATGCGGCCGCCGCGCCCATTTTGGTACATCCCTCACGCGCTTCGTGGTCCCAGAGGGAGCCCCACCGACGCACCGACGGCCCAAATGCTATCGTTCGCATGCGCCCACCGCGCCCACTTTGGCACACCCCTCACACGCTCCGTGGCCCCATAGGGAGCCCCACCGAAGGCCCAAATGTCAGCATTCGCACGCGCCCACCGCACCCATTTCGGCACACCCCTCACATGCTGCGTGGCCCCATCGGGGCCCCACCGAAGGCCCAAATGCCACCGTTCGCACGCGCGCACCGCGCCCATTTTGGCGCACCCATCACACGCTTCGCGGCCTCATAGGGAGCCCCACCGAATGCGGTGCATACGTATTATTTCTCTGATTATTCTTCTTCTTTTTCTTCTTCGTATGCTTCTCTCTCGCCATCCATACGCTCTCTGCACGTATGTATTGGCTATGGTTCCATCCTCTCTGTGTGTTCGCTTCTATCATGGTCCCCTTCCTCGCCTCGGGTGCATCCTCTCTATAGCCTCTCACATCCGTCCTCTGTCATGTCTCTCTTCCTCCCCGTTCACGATTCGCTCATCTTTCCTATCACTTTGTTCTATTCGTTATTTGTCCCTTTTCGGCGTTGGTTCGCCTCTTCTCGCATCTGCTACCCTGCCTGCCTCATGCGTCTCCGTCATTGCCCTTGTCATGTCCTCAGGGGAGGATTGGCCCAAACACATCGAATGTGAGGTACAGTATCCAGTGAGGCAACCCATCATGAGCAATCGAAGTCTTGATCGGTTGAGCGCTCGTTGCTGAAAGCCTGGTTGCAGTTGAAGCGAACAGCCGAAACTACCCCCGAAGCCAAGTCCTCAGCCAGTTCCGCAGCAAATGCCATACCGCCCGAAACCAAGCGAAAGCAGGTCATATCCACCTCTATTTTGGTTCAAGGCAGCATCTCTGAGAATTAGACTGCCAACATTTTTCGAGTCCCGCCCATCGGGTGCTGCTAGGAGTGCCCCTGCCCCCAGGATTTCCAAGGAGGCCCCCACGGCCCCCAGAGCACCTCTCACGAGGCCCAGAGGGCCCCAGGGGCTGCAAAATTGATCGAAAAGCTGGGGGCACCTTGGGCCAGGGGCACCTCTAGCAACCCCCGAGCCCAGCGACGCACTCAGTCTTGCCCCAACCATGCCGGCGCAGCGCAGGCTGCTCAGCAAGGCTCTCGCCCTGATCTTGGCTGCGTTCGCCTGTCGCCTGCACTCCCGTGGCGGTGCGGGCCACGCCTTCGCCCCTTCGGCGGCCACGCTGGCGGCAACCGCGCGGGCTGCAGCGGACCGCGCTGGCGCGGAGCGCGACGCAGACACGAGGATGCTGGAGGAAGCGCTCCGCGGTGCGGAGGCGGCATCCGCGCGGGCTGCAGCGGGCCGCACTGCAGCGGATCGCACTGACACGGGCGCCAGGACCCTCGAGGATGTGCTCCTCAGCGCGGCGGCCGCAGCTGCAGGTGCCTCCCGTGGCGGTGCGGGCTCTCCCTTCGCCACCTCCGCGGCCACACTGGCGGCACCCGCACGGGCTGTCGATGACCGCACTGACGCGGAGCGCGACGCGGACACCAGGGAGCTCGAGGATGCGCTCCGTGGCGCGGAGGCGGCCGCCGGAGGTCGGAGGAACTCCGAGCTCGAGCCGCGGCTTCAGTCAGGAGGCAAATTCGCGGAGGCGGTCCCGGAGACTGCGCTGAACCCGCCATGGGCAACTTGCTATGTGGAGGCTCAGCTGACTACAAAGTCTGTCATAGAGGAGTGGATCATCCGTGGCGAGAGTGAGGTGATCGATTCGTTCAGTGCTTGGCGCCGCTCATCTCAGGGGGCCGGGAGCATCAAGTGCGTGGACATTTCCACGGAGGACGCCCTGCAGGCCGAGTGCCTGGAGTGCGCGTTGACGTTCGCGGCAGGATCTTCGGATTGCATGGAGTCTGCAGCTCGCGGGCACGGCTTCTGCAAGAGCGGCGAGCTCCTGGTGGGCTGAGCACCATGCGTGTGGACCCCTGTGGCCGACCCCTTGGGGACCTTGGATGCCTCTCCCTGGGGCCAGTCGCTCGATTTTGGGCCGCGCGCGCTGTCTTGGACGCCCTCTGGTGCTTCGCGGCCACGTGGCAAGCACAGAACTGAGACCCAAAGGGGCCGTGTTGGGCCGTCTCTGAGCCTCCTGCGGCTTGCGGGGGACGCTTGGGCGTTTCGTGGGCCCTGTCGGGCCATCCTGGCTTGTGCCAGCAGGAGCGTTCGCTCCAGACTACGGGCACTTTGCCTGTTCACCGCAACTTTTTTCTGCGCGGTTCTGCTGATGTGCAGACAGAGAGCCTCGTCTGCCATCGTCGCCTGGCGGCACTGGATGTTCCTGGTGGCGCCTCGGGAGAGGGCAGGGTCCAGAGCCGCGGCTCCGGATTTTTCTTAGTTGCTGCTCGCAGCTGCTTCCAGTTAGTTTTTCTTGGTGTTTCACCTCAGGACTCCGGGGAGGCGATTTTGTCACGACTGGGGCCCTGGTGCCCTCGACCCCATCCATCCTTAGGCCCCGTTCTGCTCGCGGGTCACTGCCAGGTGACCTTTTGGAGCTCGAGGTCAGCTCCCCGAGGGCCCAAATATCGATGAGAGAGTACGTGCCCGTCGTGCTTTCTTCGCGGTGCCCCGGAGGTCTGGGGCTTCAGGGCCAGAGGTCCCCGATTTTGGGCGACGCGCCACGGGTTGCTGGAGGTGCCTCCTGGCCCAAGGTGCCCCCAGCTATTCGCTCCGTTTTGCAGCCCCTGGGGCGCTCTGGGCCTCGTGAGGGGTGCTCTGGAGGCCGTGGGGGCCTCCCTGGAGCTCTTTTGGGGGCTCCTTGGGCCAGGGGGCACTTCTAACAACACCCGGCAGCCCACGATTTTCTAGATGCCGCGCGCTCGTCGAGCGGGTCGGCTGGTCGGCTCCTCTGGAGACGGACTGATCGTGACCTCGAGGGGGGAGGATGCGATCCGGCGCACGGGGGTGCCAGGGCAGAAGACAGGATGCGGAGGAGGATATGGAGGGGAAGGAGGACGAGGCGAGAGATGAGTACAAGTTTGAGATGAATAGACCAGCTGACGAGGGAGAGCAACAGAAGGAGGAGGGGGGGTCGGGTGGTTTCACGCGACTGCCCCTCGTGCTCTGCATTGGGTCCCCCCTCTCTCCTCGAGTATTGATTTTTCATTTCATCCCTGGCGGGAAAGTGGGGCGTCGGGAACAGAGCGCTTGAGCTGCTGATTAAGTTTTCAACCGCTGAGTTTCTGGTGTGCGTAACTGGCCTTGGTTCCTAGATTTGGCAGGAACCGATCGAGCGCTTCCTGATTATATTGCCCTCAACAACGCTACTTTTGTCGTGGCGACCCGCGCCAGGTCCAATTCAAACGCCAGAAGATGCCTCCCATGCAAGCCCCACAAGCAGCCCCCATGTTCCAATTGCGCTGCCGGCGGGGACGGCTACCCCCCGGGAGTGTTTTGATGGACGCATCGCAGAATTCTCCGGGGGGGGGTTACGGCTCGGGGGGGGCGGTATCAGGGGGGAAATGGCTTGTGGCGTCGCGTCGCCCGCCAGGTGGGCATGGCTCTCGCGGTTTGTTCGTCGGGGTGCGTTTGTGCATTGTCAGCCCAGTTTTGAAGTTGTGGTGGTGCGCAAGCGTGGCCCTGCTGACCTCGCCAAGGAGTTCTGGTGATCGGGGCGGGCCAATTCTACCTCTGTGGCAATATTGTCGGCCATGCGAACGCGTCGTCGGAGCTTTCGGGCGGCTGGGCAGGAAAACGTTGATGACCTGAGGGGGGAGAAGCATCGCTGCAGCACCCCTCCCCCGCCCGTCCCTTTTCCCCCCCGCCCCCCCCCCATCCGTGGAAGAACGCCTCCGATGAGCTAACAGCAGATGTTCCCGAAGACCTCTCTGGGAACATCTGGGGTACCGCCGACATGCGTTACATCTTCGTTGCTTCGTTTGCGCTGCCGTGCTGTGCGGTGCGTGAGATATAGCATTGCGCGGCCTGAAGCAGAGGATAGGCCAGTACCGCAAAATGCTTGCCACAGGCCAAGGTCATGTTCCTGGAGGCCTCTCCGGGAGCATGATTTGATTGGCGATGCCGGACCGCCAATGTATGGTGAAGGCCTTACGGCCGGTGCCGACGACCCTGAAGGCGGGACTTCCCCCGGGACCCCGGGGCTCCCCCCCGGGACCTCGGGGCCGGGGCCGGGGGTCGGGACCGGGGCCAGGGTCGGGGCTGGGGCCAGAAAAAAGGGAAGGGAGTCGGCTTAACTACGACGTTTCCCTTTTTTCTGTTCGTTCCTGAATTTTCTTGGGACTTGCGACGACGACGACGAAAACGACGGTAACAGCGTCTCACACAAGCCGAAGGGTCGGCGGATTGCAAAGCCCTTTGTTTTATTCCATTTGTTTTCGGGGCACTCGACCTTGAAACCTTTCTACAAAACCGAAGGATGTTTGAAGAATTCCAGCATGCCCGCGCGACGGCGCGCGCGGGTGGACTTCGTCATTTCTTTTGCAAGGGGCTCTTGAAAACTGATGCTCGTTGATCAACGAGTGCCGGCGCATAGTATTTTTTGGGCAGGCATGAGGGGGGCCGATACCAGCTGGACCAGGATGGTATAAGTTCACATTTCAAATGAACGATGGGGCAGAATCATGTGTAAATTGCGGTGCCCCAGGGGGGGGCGATAATCCGGGGGGGAATTTGTTCTTTTAAGAAATGTTCCAAGCGATGGGCGGCGACGGGGCGGCGACGACGACAACATGGCCGCCAGACCGCCAGGGAGGCCCAGACGACTGGCGGCGGCGAGGCGGCGACGGGGCGGCTACGGCGACAACATCGCTGCCAGAACGCCAGGCAGGCCTAGACGACGGGTGGCGAGGAGGTGGCGACGGGGTGGCGACGGCGACAATACAGCTGCCAGACCTCCAGCCAAGCCAAGTTCCTTAGAACAGAAATGAATAACCCTACATTCAAACACTTTTTGGCGGCGGCTACACACACACACACATATATATATATATATATATATATGTATGCAAATGCTGGAGTAAAATTTCTACCAATCTGCCGGGAGAGGCCAGCGCCCTGCGAACCGGTGGCGGCATGCGCTCACAAGAATAACAGATGAGTGAGACATCTCTATATCTGTATATAGATGAGACAAATAAATACAGAGAGGGAGAGAGAGAGAGAGAGACAGTGAAAGAGTTGAACAGGGAGGGGCTTTGAGGAAAAGGAGGAGGAGAAGGAGGAGAAGGAGGGCAGGAGGACAAGGACGAACGAGGGGGACAGAGAACGGGCAAGATCGGCGCGCATCATACTCGAGCTGGCTTGCCGGCTCCTGTTATGGGTAGACGGCATTTGATTGGGGAAACGTGATGGCAAAACGAACGGGATACAGTCAACCCGCATGGTAAGGATGGGCAACCTTCTCAAGGGTACCCTTGCTTTCTTGCCTCCTCGGGGGCGTCCCAGGCCCTTGCATCCCTATCGCGCATCCTTACTACACGGGTTGTCTGTAAGCTCTGCCGCGGCGGCGCGAGAGAGGGTGCAGCTTAGGATGGGGGGCCTACGAAGACCCCGGGGCTCTCGTAGAAGGCGTGGGGCGTCTGGATTCCGAGTGGCCGAGTCCTTGGAAGAAGCCCAAGGCCTTCTTGGAAGACCACCCCCCTCCAGCCCTGCTCCCCTTGCGTGTGTCGCCAGTCCGCCGCCCTGGCCTCTTCTTCTCCGTCTCCCTCCGCTCCTAGTCCCCTCCCTCCGCGCCTCCTCTCTCCTCCCCCTTCTCCATTGCCTCACCTCAAAGCTGCGGCTGTGGCCGAATCAGAGTGCCGTTCACGTGCCTTCTGGACACGCGGCGTCTTCTTCTTTCAGTATATGGCGTCGTGAACAAAATCATGGACAGACCTCCTGGCCCCTTCCTTCTGCAGGCTTTCTCAAGCTGGCTTGGGCACCCGGATCGACACGGGGCAGAAACGGCCGTTGTTTTGGTTAGATCACGGTGCTTGGATGAGAAGTGTCGAGGATGGCAAGTTTGCATCAACATAAGTTGTCGGATGTCCCCGTGGGTTTCTTGGGATGGGCGTTGGACCATCCTCGCGGCGCCCTGTGCGTAAGGGAGGGAGGTCCATCGCCGAATCACGAATTCCGTGCGGGCCTCCGAAAGCCTGTGTGCATCCAGACGTGTTTTCTTGGAGAGAGGGAACCGTGGCGGGCAAGATCGGCGCGAATTCGACGCCAGCGAGGCTTGTGCAGTACAGAGCCGCCTCGCCCGCTCGTTGGCTCCCCTCGTTGCGACGCCCTGGGGCTCCACGGCCTCTGGTTCCACCTGGCGCGTGTCGCCGGTGCGGAAAATGGAGAGGCGCTGCTGGCTCTCCTCGACTGCATGCAGAGGAGAGGCAGAGACCACCGCCACCGAGAGCCCATTGGGGGAGGGTCCCACCCCAGGGCGGCGGCACGCCCGAGCGTCACCCAGTACCGGACGTCGCTCAGTCGTGCCACCGCCTCTGCGGTGGGACCCTCCCCCAATGGGTTCTCAGTGGAGGTGGTCTCTGCTCGTCCTTTCAGGTGCACGCAAGAGTGGCTGTTTGTCGGAGCGACCTTTGGTGTAAGATCGCTCGCCCCCCCCCCCTCCTCCCCGACCGCTGGATGATGCGATGTGACGGTAGCTGCTTGCGCGCTGGGTTTTGCCCTCCTCCCCGCACTCCCCCGCCATCAGTGCAATTGGAGGTTCCAAGGCAGCTTCGGAGGGAGGGGGGAGGAAGAGAGGAGGAATGAAGAGCAGGTGGAGGAAGAGGAAAAGGAGTATCTCCCCGTGGCGGGGATGGGTTCTTGCATGATGCCTTCTCTTTCTCCTCCCTCCTCTGCGCTTTCTACAAGGCCGCATGCCAAAGATTACTCTTGCCCAAGCTCGCTCTTGAATGTAGTTGATCTCCCGTTCCTCCTGGTCCTGCTCCCGCTCCTGCTTGTCGCCGTCGTCCTCCCATCCTTCGTCCTTCCCACTTATTTGGGAGGGGAGGGGTAGGATGTCGCGAGTGCATGTCGCCTCTCTCCTCTCCATTTCATCCATTCTCGCATATTCCCATTCTCCTCTGTCGTACCCTCTCCTCCCTGCTGAGACATCGTTCGTCTTTCATCTCTCTGCTTGTCTGTTTTTCTCTCCTCTCTTCTCGTATGTTTTCTTTTTTTCTCGATTGTGTATGTTACATCATGGTATGATCGTGTATCGTATACCGTGTCTTCTTCCTGCTATATATCACACATGTTGTGCCGTCTCGTTTCTATTTTATGTTGTATTTTCTCGGCTGGATATTCTATATTATCTCTTCTCTATTATCTGACCTCCATTCTCTATTACAGTAGCTCTCTCTGTATATATTCCCTTGACATCTCTTTCTCCCTCCCTCCGTTCCTCTCTCTATCTATATATATATAGTTCCCTCCCCCCTCTCTCTATGCATTGCTGTGTGTTTCGTTAGTGTCGTTATGCATGTGTATCTATATGTATAGATCGTTATCTCTATCTCCCTTTATGTTTTTTGTTCTCTCTCTCTCTCTCTTTCTCTCTCTCTCTCTCTCTTTCTTTCTCCATTTTTTTATAATACATACATGTATACATACAGTTGGGGGCGCGCATCAAGAAACCCCATATGCTTTTCGTCAGGGTGTCCTGGGTGTCTTTGCTCCTCGCGGTGCGCGGTGACTTCCCGCGGCCGCTGAAGAAGCTGTTGCGGTCAGGGTGCTCCAGGTTTCCCCTCGTGTGCACCTCGCGCACGGGTTCTCAGGTGTTGGTGTCTTGCGAGGGTTTCTTGCGGCCGTGCCCGCACTGTATATGTATATATATATATATGTATATTTCTCTCTCTCTCTCTCTCTCTCTCTCTCTGTATGTTTTTCTCTTCGTTCGTGCCGTTCATATGATCTTCTCGCGTTTGTCCTCGCCGTTTCTTCTCCAATGCTTTCCTGCCTGCCCCCCTTCTTCTTATCAGTTGTCTTGTCATCCTTACCCTAATGCAGAAACGCCCAGACAAAGCAATGCTAAGGCAACGGCAAGCTAGGTTAACTCCTGGTTGGCCTAACGAAAACTTGATAGGCTCAAGTTTTGCGAAGACAGGCTGGTCCACAAGCTAATATCTAGTGACCTTCGGTCCCATCCCGCCACCGTGCCTGGTGCACAGGGCCAGGGGTCTCTTGTATGCCTGTTGGGGTTCTTGGGCTGCCTCTCGGGGGCCACTCGGAGGCTTCTTGCGTGGACGCATGGGGCCTATCCAGGACCTCTGAAGGGGGCTCCTGGAGGCTTCTTGGGCGCTTCTGAGTGGCGCGTTTGCAGGCATGTCTCGGGGGGGGGGGGCGCTACATGTAAGGAAAAGGTTACCAAGGCAAGTTCGAGTTCTCCCTCTTGGAGCCTTGGCCTCTTGGGCTGGCTGTCTTGCGGGCGTCTTGGGCCGCCTTAGGGGCCATCTTGGGCCGCCCAAGGGCTCTCTTGTGGGCCTTTACATTGTTTTTGGGCGATATTAGAGGGCCTCTACGGCCGTCTCTGGGGCCCTGAACCTCGAAAGCGCAAGTGCGCGAAAATCTGTCATGTTAGCCGAAGTGGACCCCAAGAGGTAGGCTCATGCACCTTCGATGTGTAAGGTTCGCATTTCAAGTTATGCCATTCGTTATGCGTGCTGCTGCAAGCTATGTGGTGAAAGATACGGTGAAAGCTGTGTGAAGGAAGCTACGTGGAAGCTGTGTGGTACCACCAGTGGTGCAAATGTTGTAATGCGAGCTATCTCGTTCAAGCAACGTGGTGAGCATTGCGTGATGCAAGCCATGTGACGCAATACATGCAGTACAAGCTATGCGTTACAAACTATGTGATACATTCTGCGTGTGGTGTAACGTATGTGTTGCAAGCTATGTGGCCTAAGTTACGTGGTGAACGCTATGCGATGCACGCTATGTGATGCAAGCCAGGTGATGGAATCTATGTGGTGCAAGCTACTCGGTGCGAGCGATGTGGTGCACCCAGCCGAGAGGAAGGATGAGAGATGGTTTTGTAGCAATGCGGCCACGCACTCAAAAGTGCTGGGCTTGCAGCTCGAGCCAGGCAGCCACCCGCTGGCATCCTGGGCTGGAGTCCCAGGACGCCTCCAGGCACGCGGAGCGGCTTCTAGGCCAGGGTAAAAGCGAGGCCGCAGGCGAGCGGCGTCAGAGCGCACGCCTGCTCTCGTGGGCGCCCCACGCCCAGTCCACGCGAGTGCCCAAGGACGGTCTGGCGACAAGCCCTGCCAGACTCTCAGACCAGCCCAGGGCGGCGCCGCCGAGGCTTCGGACCACGCCACGACGACGGCGAGGCGCGGCGCCCCGCGCGCAGCGCGGTCAGACGTGGTGAGCCACATAAGGGCCCGCCACCGACAAGCAAGGCAGCCGCAGCGAGCACGCGCAGGCGAGGCGGGCAGCAACCCGCCCAGCCGAAGGCGTTGGTCGCCTGGAGGGTCGGGCGGCCGAAGCCCATGTCCTGGACCCCCCCAAGCAGGAGGCGCAGAGAGTCGGCACAGGTGGTTCCGTGCCGGGCAGGCGGCAGTGGACGGCGTAAAGGCCCAAGCCTCGCGCCCTCGGCGGCCCCCGCCGGCCCAAGCGGGAGCAGGGACTCGCTGGCTGCCGGGTGGCCGCGGCGCTGGCTTGTGCGGCTTGCGCCCACGCGCCCGAGGAGACGCCGGCGGGCCCCCCCCACCCCCTGGCCCCTCGCGCAGTGCTGCTCTCCTCCAGCTGGTCACGCCGAACAGAGAGTGCACGCACTGTTTGGGGATGAAATGTCACTTAGGGCTCTAGGTGGTCATCATAGGGGCCCTCGTGGGGCGTCTGGGCAGCCTCTTGGGAAGTCTGGAGGGTATTTGGGGCGTCTTGGGGCAATATAGGGCTGACTCGTTGCCCTCTTGGACCGTGCCAGGGTCCTGTTGGGACCCTCTTGACCAGTCTTGGCGCTGTCTGGCCTCCTGGGCAAGTCACCCGACCCGCCCCAAGAGTCACGCGAGCCGCCCCAAGAGTCATGCGAGCAGCCCCAGAACATCTGGCAATTGAAGACGCGAAGGGACATGGGGACACTACACTCGACGGCGCGGTGGCGGATACAGCGGAAGCCATAGATCATGCCGAATATACAGACGGCCGAGATGTTACACTTGGCAAGTGCAAATCATAGCCTTCCTTGGCTCAAGGCAGCACATCCGTGAATCAGACTGTCAGCATTTTTCGAATCCCGCCAGCCGACGAACTCATTCTTGCCCTGAACATGTTGGCGCAGCGCAGGCTGCTCAGCAAGGCTGTCGCCCTCATCCTGGCAGCGTGTGCTTGCCGCCTCGCCTCCCGTGGCGTTGCGGGATCTGCTTTCGCACCCTCCGCGGCCACATTGGCGGCACCCGCGCGGGCTGCAGCGGACCGCGCTGCCGCGGAACGCGACGCGGACGCAATGATGCTGGAGGATGCGCTCCGCGGCGCGGAGGCGGCCGCTTCCTCCGCCTCACGTGGCAGCGCGGGCTCTACCTTCGCCTCCTCCGCGGCCATGATAACCGCATCCGCAGCGGACCGCAGTGACACAGACGCTAGGATGCTCGAGGACGTTCTCCGTAGCGCGGAGGCCGCCGCTTCCTCGGCCTCGCGTGGCGGTGCGGGCGCTGCCTTCGCTCCCTCGGCGGCCACACTGGCGGCACCCGCACGGGCTGTCGATGACCGCAGTGACGCGGAGCGCGACGCGGACACCATGGTGCTCGAGGATGCGCTCCGTGGCGCGGAGGCGGCCGCCCGAGGTCGGATGATCTCCGACCTCGAGCCGCGGCTTCAGTCCGGAGGCCAATTCGCGGAGGCGGTCCCAGAGACCGCGCTGAACCCGCCATGGGCAACTTGCTACGTGGAGGCCCAGCTGACCACGAAGTCTGTCATCGAGGAGTGGGTCATGCGCGGCGAGAGAGAGGTGATCGAGTCGTTCAGCGCATGGCGCCGCTCATCCGAGGGGGCTGGGAGCATCAGGTGCGTGGACACCCCCACGGAGGACGCTCTGCAGTCCGAGTGCCTGGAGTGCGCGTTGACGTTTGATGTATCCGCGGAGGGCATGTTGACGTTGACGACAGGACCTTCGGACTGCATGGAATCTGCAGCTCGCGGGCACGGCTTCTGCAAGAGTGGCGAGCTCTTGCTGGGCTGAGCACCTTCCGCATGGGGCCGTTGCGCTCGTGCGCACGGCACCACTGGCGAAGTCTTGCGCGCACGCCTTCTGGCAGTGCGGCTGCAGGTCGTGCTGGACTGGGCGCATGTTCCTGGCACCCAGAGCCACTGCCAGCGCCTTGCGAGATTCACGGGCTTCACGGAGCCGTGTCAGGGGGGCTGGTTGGTAGAGGGGCCCCCCTTCCTCTCGTGCTGGGGTCAGGCTGACGTGAGTCCACCAGACAAACTCCCTCCACTAACTAGAGGGCCAATTCCCTCTTCTTCGGTTCATGTTGTTCGGGGGCCATTCTCGAACGAGAAAAGCTGCATAGACATACACTTTCGGAGCTCCGCCTGGGCTTCTCGGGTCTGCCATGGGCCCCCCCTGGCGGCGCCTCCGGCACCGCCCCTGACGCGCTCCGCACGCGAGGGAAGGGAGTCCAGCGCCGATCCAAGCAATCCGCGCGGACCTCCGACAGCTTATGCTTAGGCTGGATTTTCCCCAAACAGTGCTTGCACTTAGAGGCTTTCATGTCTGTTCTACGGACTTGGCCTGATTTCCGGTCTGACGGCTATGTTGTCGCCGTCGCCGCCCCGTCGCCGCCCCGTTTCACCCCGTCGTCTGGGCTTAAGATTACCGGTCTGGCGGTTATATTGTCGCCGTGGCAGCGCCGTCGCCGCCTAAATTGTACAGCATAGATTGCACCGCATAGATTGAACTGCACGTGTTGCACCACACAGATTCTCCTTTCTTAAAAGAAGATAGGTTCTACCACCCTCCCCCTGCGGTTAAAGACCCCCCAGGAACCGATCAAATCACAGGATTCTGACCCAATGTCCATCCGACCTGTGAATTCATATTATCCCAGCCGAACCGGTATCGCCTGCCTCGCCATCCTTTGCAAAAAGTACTATGCGCGCGCATTCCTTTATCCCAAATCATGAGCTTACAAAAGCTCTTTGCAAAATATGGGGCGAAGTGCACACGCGCGCGTCGTCGCGCGTGCATGCAGAAATCTTTCAAACAATTTTGATTTCGGAAGGATTTCAAAATAGAGTTTCGAAAAAACGGGTTGCAGGCGCAGGAGTACAAGCAAAAACCACTAAACCGATAACCAAAATCATTTATCGATTTATCTGTTCGTCGACCGATAAGCCGACATTGTTATATCGATTTACTGGTCGATATCGCACGAACCGGTAAACCAATAAACCCGTCCTATGGGCTTTCAGTTCCGACTGCGTCTACCGGTTTATCGGTTTATCTGCGCATTTGACGCGTAGCTATGCTTCAGCCCTGAGGACACCGCCCTAACATCTCGGGCTGCGCAATTGTTTTTACGGTTTATCGGTTTATCGGTTCATTCGGTGCGTAGCCACGCCCTTGCCATCACACCACCGCTGAACCCGTCCTTCGCCCCCGATTCAGTTTTGATCGCGTTTGTTGGTTTATTGGTTTATTCGGTGCGCGAGCCTTGATTCCGCAGCCCCAACCTTGCAACCTCAGCCCCATTATCAGTCTATCTGCTTCTTCGGGTTCAGTCGGGAGGCAGGCGGTTCATCATCTGTGCTCGTTCTGGATCGGTATCATCCGTCCTGGACGGAGTAGTGAACACTATACGGCTGGTTTCTCCAGAGGCTTCTCCGGTTTCTCCGGCTTCTCCGGCATTTCCGGCTTCTCCGGCTTTTCCGGTTTCTCCGGGTTTTCCGGCTTCTTCGGCTTCTCCCCTTTCGGTTTCTCTGTATTCTCCGGCTTCTCATGCATCTCCGGCTTCTCCAGTGTCTCCGGTTTCTAGAATGTTTCCGGCTTCTCGGGAGCATCCAGCTTCTCCGGCTTCTCCATGATGCCAGCCCACTGGCTTCTCCGGTATCCCTGCATGGGGTTTTCTCCAGCTTCTGTGGTTTCTCCGCTCCGGCTTCTCCGATTTCTCCGGCTTCTCCGGCATCTCCGGTTTTCTCGCTCTTACTCTCGAGACTTCATTTGATTATAAAAGCGACAACGCGAACGCCAACTGCACTTTACGGCTTCAAAAGCAGGAAACGCTCGCCGATTTCCAAGATCGAACTTCGGACCTGAACTCGTCCAACCACCAACCGACCTCCGCCGCCACAGAAATACGAATATCAAGACGACGATTTCAATTTCCTCCATGGTTTCAAACAGCAGAGTATACGCCAAATTTCAAAATATGGTTTCCTTTACTCCAAGGCGATTCGTCGCAGTGTTGCGAGCGCTCGCGGAATTATGGTCGCCAATACGTCCGCCTGTGGACGTAGCCGTGGGCGTCAGACAGTCGATCGACGCGTCGTTCACGCTCCTGGTGACGACTCAAAGTCAAGGATCCGAGGCCTCGTCTACTACGACACCGGGGCCCTAGAGTGAGGTCAAGAGCAACAGCTCAGGTGAGGTAGGCACTATGGTGACCCTGTCATGCGCCGTATGCCAGGGATTGGGCCAGAGGCCCATGGAAACACCCGATTGGCTACCGTGGCTACCCATACCTTTGACGGGGCCCAGCGCAGTGATGAGGCCGGGTTTAGTTCGGCCGGTAACAGCGTTACCGACGACCTCAAGCCAGAACGGCGATTGGACAACATAATTAGGTCCAAACGCCGAGACGTCGAGCGAATTCACCGACGAGGAGGAGCACATCCAGGACCACCATCCTCGTCGATTTCGCGGTTCGCTTACGAGTCAGCGGCATTGGTGGACCCCTGGGCTCCATTTTGGATCTGGGGCCCGTAGCTGCAGCTCCCGTGCCCGATTATTTCGCGGTTCTTTGCGATTGCGTGTGTTTTCTTGCGGATAAAGCCATCTACGCTCCTTCTCTTTATTTCCAACTTCCCATTTATCGTCCGCCTATTTCTCATATCCCCTCCGCCCCTCCCCTGCCCTCCCCCCCTCCTCCTCTTCCTCCTCCTCCTCCTCCTCCTCCTCCTCCCCCTCCTCCTCGTCCTCCTCTTCCTCCTCCTCCTTCTGACGACAGACATCGTCGCCTCGCTGAGTTTCGCGGCCGAGGCTCCGCGGGACAGGCTGGTCGTCGTGAGTGGGGGCTTCATTTTTTCCGAGGCGGACTCTGTTGCTGCGCTCGCCATCTCTGGCGCCGCGGCGGTCGGCGCGCCAGCACCACGCGCGCGCCTCGCTCTGGCGCGTCGCGCTGGGGAGGATGCTGGAGTTTGAAGGGGAGCAGCCGACCCACTTCGTCCGCGACCTGAGTTCGGAGGCCATCATCGACAGGGTGTGCTTCTCGACGCCGGGCTGGCTGGCGCGCCAGCGTTACGTCACGTCTGCGGTGCTCGATCCCGCGGCGACGGATGCGGATGAAAATATGTCCGACCACGCTGCGGTGATTGTGGCAATTGCTGCTCGTGCTCCCAAGCCTCCATCGGATCGTGCGCTGCCGAAGCAAATTTGCCAGGAACCCTTCTTTGCTCGTCGTCTTCAGGAGCTGCGCGAGGCGAGCGATTGGGCCTCGATGTCTCCTCCGTTCCGTCTCGAGCAGTTTAAGTACTCGCTGAAGGAAGCGGGCTGTGAGGCCCGTGATGCAGTCTTTCGTGATCGGCCCAGTCACCTTCGGACGCTGTTATTGTTGGCACGGTCTCTTGCTCGGACTGCGTGGAGGAATGATCGGGTCTTGGCTGAGCGGCTCATGTCGCCGCACCCTGTGGCAAGTGATCACATATGTCTCTCGGCGGCTGGCGTTGAGTTGCGCTACCCCCCCCCCCGCCACGCACACACACACACACACACACACACACACACACACACACACACACACACACACACACACACACACACACACACACACACACACACACACACACACACACACACACACACACACACACACACACACACACACACACACACACACACACACACACACACACACACACACGCACATCTTCCAGGAATGGTCGTCGAAGGCGCAGCGAGATACGGCGGAAGTTGAGAAAGAAGAAAGAGCCTCGCGTATGAAGTCTGGCTCCAACCCTCGGCAGCTTCGCCTCATGGTTTGGAAAGGCGTGCTCGCCTCTGGTCTCCTCATGGGCGTAGGTTGGATCTCTCGGGCATCATCTCACCAGATGCTAGTCTCGTCGCCGACCCTGATGCGAGGATCACCAAGCTTTCGAAATATTGGAAACCTGCGTTCTGGCGGAAACCCTGGGACCGACAGTTGGCAGCGGAGTATGTTCCGAGGCTGATTCCTGAGCTTCCTGACATTCCCTTACCTCCTCCTACGCCTCGTCTCCTCCGACGCGTTCTCGAACGCGCTCATGAGTCGGCCACGGGCGTCGATGGGATTCCGTATCGCGCGTGGTTGGCCTCGCTTGTTGGCATCGAGATCTTTTGGTTCTTGCTGGGCATGCGTTGTTCGCAGCCGCCAATATCACGTTGCAGGCCTTCTACCCTAAGTCGATTACAGACAGTGAGTTACGGGATGGTCAGTGCGCGCGCGCCCCTGACAAGATACGTGTACTCGGGTTGCGCAACACTGATGTGAAAGTGCTCTCGGCCACGGTGAACGCTGCGATGCGACCGCTCCTGCAACTCGCCGCGCCGCGCCGCCGGCGAGGGCTTGTGCCGGGGAGGAACTTTGGCACGCACATCCTCGAGATGGTTGTCTCGGCTCGGCCGCTGCCCCTCGCTCCCCGCGGCCCCCTGGACTTCCCCGCCATGTATTCCCTGGACTTCGGCCAGGCCTTCCCTTCTCTGAACCAGGAATTCCCCCCCTTTGTCCTGGAGCTCTTGGGCCTCCCGCAGGGCTTCCTGGAGTTCGGTCGGTTCCTGTGCTCGTCGATCGAGGGGCTTGCGCCTGTCCGTGGGATCTTTCAGCGGATCTACTGGCTTAGAAGTGGCATCATGCAGGGGCGCGGGCTCTCGGGGGCGCCGTTTGCGCTGGGCCCCCCGGTCTTCCTCGAGGGCCTCCAGGCATCGATCGAGGACCCCGCCGTGGGCCTGGTGAGGGCCTGCGCGGACGATATTGGTGGCACGTTGTCGAAGCTTGTGTACTTGGAGCGCGTCCATCGCGCGATGTCGGTCGCGTCGGCCATCGCCGACCTTGGGCTGGAGATTGCGAGATGCAAGATCGCGCCGCTGTGCGCCAAGTTCTCGGAGCAGCTTCCCCGGGTGATCTCAGAGGCGATCGCTGTCAGGATTCCAGAGCGGCCCTCGTTCGACGTCGCCCCGTCCCTGGCTGATATTGGGATCGATTTGGGCCCCGCCGCGGGCCCGGAGGCTTCTTGGACCGACCCCGCGGCGAAATGTCGGCTCAGATCCGCTGCGATCGGTCGGGGGGCCACGCCCGCCAGTTTCTCTTCCATCCTCTACAACACTCGCGCAGTGAGCACCGTATCGTATGTCGCGCAGTTCGGGTGGATGCCGCCTGCCCTGCTGAAGCATGAGATCGCGGTGCTCTCGCAGGTCTTCAGGGCCCCGCTGGGTGTCTTCGGCCTCTCCGCCTGGGGACAGCTCGGCCGCTGGGGCGGGCCTCAGATTGTTCATTGGATGCACTTCAACGCGGCGTCGATTGCGCGGGCGGCGCTCCACGCCTTCCCCGAGCATGCGGTTTTGAGGGGTGAGCTTCGTGCGCGGCGGCGAGGCCGCTTTTGCGCGCGCTGGACGCGTTGCGGACAGGTGCTGCATACCCCAGCCTCTGGCAGGCGCCCGCCTTTGTCGAGGTTTTGGCGGGCGCGATCGCGGGGCGTGCACCCTCGCAGGCCTCGGGGCCTGCCCCTGTGCATGCTGCGCCCGCGGCCCGCGGTGAGCTGCTTGAGGCGGTCGGGCGACGTCCTCGGCCTCAACGTGCTGCGCGCCGCGCTCTTCGTGCGGCTGCTCTGCGTGATGATCCTCTGGGGTGACTGCTGTCGCTGCGGCTGCGGAAGCTGCTCGGTCGGCATGGTGCGGCGCTTGCTGGCATGGATTGGGTCCAGGTGCAGTCGTTGCTCGCCCGCTGCCCTTGCTCGTGGTCTTGGGCCGTGCTGTGGGCACGGGCTGGCGGCTGGTTGGCCTCGTCGGGGTTGCCCCCCCCCCCCCCCCCCCCCTGGGCGCCGTGGTTGCGCTTTCGGATGTGTCGGCCGCCCTGGCCCCCTGCGGCGATATGCTCGATGTCGACCGCTTCGCGGCGCCCTGCGGGTTGCGCTGGCACGGCCTCTTGCGCTTCCCACCCTCGAGCGGCGGGCGCTGGCGCCGCCCTCGACGTGCGCTGCGGCCACGATGGCGGCGGCAAATGCTATGTGCAATGTGGCGCGCACGACTCTTGAGTGGCCGCTTACCTGGCGACAAGCGGTGTCGCGTGCGGTGGCTGGCGTTCGCTCGACGCAGATGGCCTCGCCGCTTCGCCTCGACGCCGCTGAGCGGGACTCCTTAGCCGTGCGGTGGCCTGCGGGCGTGCGCCGCCGCCGTTCGGGTTCCTCGCCCTCGTCGTTTTCTTCGGGGGCGTCGTCGGTTCCCTCGTCGCCCCCGCCCGCGCGGGCGGCCCCCTCGTCGCGCCCCCCTCGCCTTCGTCGCCTTCGTCGGGGGCGACGCGTCGGCTGAGGCCCTGGTCTCCGAGACACTCTCCGAGGCTGACGCCTATGGTGTCGGACCCAGAGCCGTCGACACCGAGAACCCTGATTGCGACGCCGCCTCGGTCGCCCTCACCGCCGCCCCTGAGTGTGGCGCCTTCTTCGCGTGATGCGCCGACCTCGAGTGTTGCGCCGTCGACGCGAGTTGCGCCGTCGTCGAGAGTTTCGCCGCCATCGAGAGTTGCGCCGTCTACGAGAGTTGCGCCGTCCTCCTCTTCTGGCGCGAGTTCTGGTACAGGAGCTGGGGGCGCCCTCAGATTGCCCCAGATGTGTGAACGCTGTCGGCAAAATGCGCACGCTGCCCCTTTTCCGATTCCGTTTTCCGCACCGCCACTTCTCTTTTTCGGCCCTTCGCTTCTGAGTGCTGCCGTTGCGGCCGCTGCTTCCCCCTCGCTCCTCGCCCCCGCCTCGTCGCCCAGCCGTTCCCGATATAAATGCACGGCGCTCCGCACGACGCCCTGCGAATCAGCCGCCGCCCCCGGCACGCCCCAACCCCGCTCGTGCCCTCCTGGTGCTGCTCCTCCTCATCCTCCGCATGTGGATGATATGAATATAACATCGGCCATCCGTGAATCGTCAACTCCGGCTTCGCCGCGGGCTGCGCGACCGCCTGCAGGCGCGCCCTAGCTTCCCCCGCCGGGCGCAGAGGCCGCTTGGGGCGGGTGAAGTTGGCGAGGATTGGGGACTCCCTCCTTACGCTCGCCCCCTCTTCTTCTTCGTATTCCTCGTCGTCCTCTTCCATATTCCGCCCCCTCTCCTCCTCGTCCTCCTCTTCTTCCTCTTCCCCCCTATTCGTCATCCTTCCTTTCCTTCTTGGGCAAGGCGACTTCTCCCGCCTTTTTTTCTTCTGCGCGCCCCCCCCCCCCCGCCTCTCACGTCGCCAACGCGGCTGTTTTGGAGCGGGCTGGCGGGGGTCTGTTTTTGGTCCGCGACTCCAAGGCGAGAGACAGGGAGCGAGCACAACGTCCGGGGCGCGGCACGTAGATAATTGGCGCGAGATTGCCGTGGATTCCAGCGGACAACACACCAACGGGTTTGGTGGGGATCTGCGAAGCGCCAACAATTTCAAAATATGGTCACCTCTACTCCTGGTGCACGGCGCCGTCTAATCCCCCCCCCCCCCCCCCTCTGCCCCATAAGCCGTCGCTGCGTCAAGTGTCCGCTGCGGCGCAAGCGGCAGATCGCAGCCGCGGCGCAAGCTGCCGCCGCGGCAGCATCATCGGCAAAAACCGCAGACGCGATGTCCTCGGAAGAGGGGAAGTGTGGGACTTGTTTTTAGCGGAACTCGACAATTGAACCGATATCGACAATCTTGGTTGCTTGCACACGCACCACAAGCATTGCGTTGACGCGCGCACGAGCGCGCGCTGCGTGGAGTTCGCCAACCTCACATACCCAGAGTGCAGGACCACGGGCCGCTAGCTCCAGTCGATGGAAGCCCGCGCGCAGCAGCGGGCAGTCGTTTCTCCGTTCGGGCAGGCGCAGTCTACGGACCCCCGCGCACGCGCGGGCAGGCGCGCCGCTGTCTTCCTGACCCCCGCCACCCAAGGGTGGTAGCGTGAGATCCACAGGGTTATCCGCTCGAGGTCGCCGCCTTCCCGCGTCCTGGCCGAGTCGCCAGTCGAGCCGCCCGAGTCGCCCATTGCGGCCGTAGTCGCGGCCGAGTCGCCCCGCGGCAGCGGGCTGCCCCAGTCCGTCTCGCCGTCGCAGACGCAGCCATCGCAGCCGCGCCGCCCTGCCATCTCGGATGCGGATTTCGACATCACGCGCGCGGAACATGAGTCGAATGGCGGTGATGGGGCCCCGGTGCCAGACCCGCCCATGGTTGCCACTGCGGTTCTCGACGCCGTGCTGGGCGCCGCCTCTTTCCGAACCCGACGGATCTCCCCGGCGGTTTGCAGGCTGAGCGGGGGGCCCGAGAGACAGTCGAGATGTGGCTGGACGAGATGTGGCGGACCCCAGGGATCGCAGGGAGGTGGGAACAGATCCCGCCCTCTCGGTTCGTCTTCTGCCCCCGCGCCCTTTCCGCGCCGCAGTCGCCGCGGTGGCGCCCCGCGAGGGCTGGCGGCCCGAAGCGCCCATGCAAGGCGCCACGAGTAGCGCGGGCTGGCTCGAGCACCGCGCCGCAGCGCAGGAGGAGACCGCCGACGAGACGCACTCCCGCAAGCCGACGACTGCGAT